ATCCAAGAAAGTGTATAGAGAAAGAGTGTCTAGTTAGAAAATCAACTTAGAGTGCAGCTATTAGCAGCCAATAAAATATCTTCTGAGCAAAAACCCATAGTGATTTATAAGAGCTGAGAGGCAGGGAGAAGATGCAGAAAGATAGATATTATCAGAACTTATTAGACTAAGGTTTTATTACACATTAATTTTTTGACATACAAAAGGTTGTATGTAATTAATGTATACAACTTGATGAGTTTGAACACAAGTATATACCCATGAAATCATCACTACAATTTATGCCATAAACCTAGCCATCATCTCCAAAAGTTTCCTTACCACATCTTATTGATTGTTATTATTATTCTTTTTTTGTGACAAGAACACTTAATATAAGTTTTATACTCTGGGAAAAATTTTAAGTATACAATACAAGATTGTTAACTGTAGACTCTATGCTGTACAGTAGATCTCTAGGACTTACTCATCTAACTGAAACTTTGTACCCTTTGGCTAATACCTCCATTTCCTAATACAATTTTTTTCACTAATCAAAAGTTGTGGATGTCAGTCCTGGATGAGAATAAGTAAAAGATTGGTCCAGAATACCTCTACATTGTGCTTTACCTAAAGAAAGGGAAAAAGTCTAGGTGATTCTTTTCTTTTGAATATAAATCTAGAGAGCAGGCTTCTTGCATGTAAAAATATTGTATCTACAACACACACTAAGTGTTAGTGTCTGGCCCATGGATTTGAAGATGGAAAGACACTGCTTCAGCTAAAACAAGCTACGTGGCTACCTGAAGGAAATAGTGTGCATGTGTGTTTGTGTGTGTTTTACCTACTAGTTAGGAGCATCTAAATCTTATTATCAGTACTAGTCAGTTGGACATGGGAAGACATGACCGAAGTTAATCTCACATTTTTTGATTAGATACTTATTTTTGGCTTAGTGAAAACACCTCCTTGCAGGAGTGAAAACCATGTCATTATGCCTTTTGAATAAATACAGGATTACCTGATTCTGTACTGCTTTATAATTAAGAACGCTTTTTGGAATCCTTGTTTGATTATGAAACAATATAAATACTTCCTGTACCTTCTGAGAAAATGAGGACATACATATTCTTTCAGTGTTAATGTTTTGCTTATATTATCATAATTTGATGTTCTGTGTTTTCACATGAGATTTACTGCCTCCTAATTTAATAATGAACTCTCAGCACACAGAAAACATCAGAGATGTTCTGAGACATACAATTAAAAATAAAAGGGTTCCAGATACTTCAAGAGTTTAAAGGAGGAATGGAGATGGCTTTAAGGAGTAAAATAATGGTTGCAGTTGTTAAAATGTGTTGTTTTCCATAAATAATCATGGAAACACTAAGATGAATGAACCCATTTAACGTTATCTTTTTGTAAAACAGAACAAAAACCAAGCTCATAGTTACAGAGAAAAAAATTAGTGTTTGCCAGAGGCCAGGGTGAAGGGGTGTGGGTAGGAAAACAGGTGAAGGGGGTCAAAAGGTGTTCATGTACTCAGTCACGCTGAATGAATTATAGGTTAAACCTTTACACTTGCGTTACATTGTTATATGACCTTGAGGAAGTTACTTTGCTTTTCCCATGCTCTGTTTTCATGACTGTGATCTTGGAGTTACTTTAAGGATTAAATGAGAATATGTAACTCTGGCCACCTGGTAGGTGGCCCTTACCCAGGTCTCGTTTCTTCCTACTCCGGTAAATGCATTCATTTACATTTGCTCTTTTAGACCATCATTCTCTTGAGCTTTAACTACCTCAGTGCTGTGTTTAGATAGTTTGATTTACATTTGGGAAAAAAGTCAAAGTATGAACAAAAAAGAAAGTAAAGACACCAACCTTACAATGGCCAATGTCCGGATGTCTTGTCCTGGAGAGAAGCTCAGTGCAGCCTGGATCAGGAAAAGGAGAAGGAGCCTCAGTACTCGTCATGGAAAATGTGTCCTTTCTGTCACCTGGAATTTAAATGATTGTTTGTCTTATTTTCTGACCAGTTATTCCCCTTACATAAAACAGCCTTACACCATGTTGAACTAGTGTTAAACCACATAATCTGTGATTCAGAATTACTCTTTGTACACCCATTAAAGGAGTTGAGAAAATGCTGAATTGCCAAGGACAAGAAGGAAAGACCCTGAACTTTTACTTGTTTTTAAATTGTTGCATTGAAGCTAGTCAGTTGAATGCATTCCTTTTACAATCTTGATTTTTAAAAGTTAAGATTTTTATTCCTTGACTTTTCTAAGAATAGAAGAAACTGGAGATATTTTTGGAATTTACCTACTTGGTTTTCATTTTCCTGAAATGGAGTTGGAACATGCGAGTGAAGCCATCCGCTTTTCTTCACTCAGCATCCACTCTCATCCAGTTTCTGCCTCCCATACCCCGGTTCCAAGTCTGCATTTAAAAATGAGGAAGTTCAGTCAGAAGAAAGAGCTGAGTTCTGAAGGGACTGACTTTGTGGCATCTCTTTAAAAAAGACATGACAGCAAGCATTTACAGGGGAGCACACCCACCGCTGTGGCTAACGGTCGCCCCCACAGCCGTGGTCCATTTAGTTTTCCATCATGTTTGGCCAGAAGCCTGACCTTCTCTTTATTCCAGCTTTTCTCTCTGAGTCATCATCGAATGTTGAAACTTTTGCCTGAAAGACAATGCTAAATTACCAAACAAATAATAAATGAGTTAAAGCATCCAGGTAGTAAAAAGTTGCCCCCACCTCATCCAGCACCATCTAGTTCCAACTGCAGAAGAGTTTCCTTCCTGCCTGGAAGGATGCAGAATAAGTATCAGCTAGAAAACAATGTAATAACTGATAAAAGCATATGTAGAAGTCACTTTCTTATATCAAAATTTTTAATTAATTACAGAGACTAATTCAGCTTTTAGTGAGGAAGCACTCATAAATTTGTTACCAGTTTTTTTATAACGTTATACTATGAAAGTTTTACTATATACTGTTTAAAATTGATGATACATCAAGTAAACAGACAGTTAAAATATTTTTATTTGCTTAAAATAATTTTTATTTTTGAAAATATACACATACATTTGTTTTTGCTTTGAATTTAATTTTACATGGCAAATCAATTTTAGGTCCTCCTAGACAAGATTGATCTATTTTTGTTTCAAAATACATTTAATTTCAATTATTTCATTATGCAACCTTTGCTACAATGGCGTGGTTTCTTCTGCAGCCTGACAGTGCAGCAAAATTCCCATTTCTGATAAGCTGGGTTTTAAGAGGCAAAGTTAAAACGCTTTGAGGATCCTGAGTACACTTTTGAACTTGAAATAAGTGTTGTTATGACTATTGACTTAGCTTTTATGTGTAAACAGAGGTACAGATCAACTGTGTGTGTGCCAGATCCTAGAGAAAGCTCTTTTGAAAAGAAAGAGAAGAAGTGCCCAGGGGTAATGGCCAGGGGACTTCTGGGGCCCTCGCAGACTGCTCTGTAGGGGCAAGCTTCCCCTCCCCCCAAGGTAAGTGCGCTACGGGCCTCATTACGGCCGCAGCCTTATCTCGGAAGAACTGGCCGCCTGCGCTTCTCAGGCGGTCCTCGCACGTGCCTTCCTGGTAGTCATGGCACCCGGGCGAGGGAAGAATACTAACTACATGGAAGAAATTTTAGGGGGTCTCCCTCCCCCAAGGTATCCTCAAGACTGTCCCCTTCTGGGTGAAAACACAAACACTTTATTAGTTTGCGTTCCATCTGGATAAACAAATATCAGTTTTGAATATGGCAAAAAAATGAAAGGAGAATTTTACATACAATTAGAGATAATAGGACTGGACAATGACCTTTTAAAGACTCAGCTAAGGCAATAATGTTGGTAAGCAGATAGGGTGCTCTCTACGGGGTAAAGGCTGGAGATCTTGAATGACCGGAGACAATTTGAAGAACTGCATTGTCTTCATGGTAACATGTGATCCTAAACCTTCACTAACCTAACAATGTTATGCAATGTTAAGCATTAAATTGCTGGAGCTGTTTAATTTAAAAGGAGTCTGAGAAAAAAAAAAAAGAAGAGCTTCCTGCTAATCCTTTTTTCATATCCTATTTGACCCGAAATGCTGTTTATAATACATATATACAAATTTCATCTTGTACTATTCTAGTCAGAAGCCCCTTCTGCTTATGAGAAAAGCCATGTTTTGAATTTCCACAAAGTCTGTAAACATTGTTAACATAATAAACATCACGCATGTCATGTGTAAGTTACATCTACCTGCTGACATTTAAAAAATAAGGAGCATTTTTAACTATTTACACAGAATTTGTTACTGAGACGTATGTAGAAGGAGTACAGTGTAAAACATTTTCTTTGGCTAGATCATTTCAAGATGATTAAAGAAACCCCAAATACTATTTACACTATACTAAACTTTCTTAAGTGTTCTATGATAAAATTGTCTTATTGTTAGAAAATGAAGAATATAGATGTAGCAAGTTTAATCATAAGCCAATAGCCCTTAGCTTGAGCAAAAGATGCATGTAGGGTTTCCCAGCACCAAGAAGATGGAAAAAGTTCAACTGTGACTAGTTCTTGTTTTCTTTCTCAAGCAGCTCAAAATACTTTAGCAAATATCTTAACGACTCTTACATTATTATTAATGATACAAGAAAAGACGACAGAGACAAGAACTGGGATTCTTGACTCCAAGTGCTTAATTTACTAAAAGTTCATTGCATTTTAAAGGGATAAACACTGTTCTTTGGCACTGTAAAAGTAGAAGTTTAAAAATTGTTGGGAAATTTTCATACTGACTAAGATTTTTTTTAAATATTAAAATTTACTACTATTTGAGAATTAAGCGTGGCTACATATTCACTTTGGGGATATGAACTAGAAAACTGTAATTATGATCACTTTAGTGCCAGATTAGACCGATGCTGTGAGACTTGCTATGCTATTATGGGTAATTTGGTCCAAATATCCTTATGTGGTCAGTATGATGTTCCTGTTCATTCTGGTCATATCAGACGGGAACAAGGATCTTCTGTACAGATCATATTACATGACCCTCGTAGCTCAGTCGGACCGCGTAGGCTGCCAGGACTACTGGAAATGGGACAAATCACTCTTTCTGTCACTATAACATTTTGCGTGAGAAGTGGATCAAAGGCTGCAGTAGAAGTTTGCATGAGGGAGCCAGAAGCTGAGTAAGTCTCTGTTACCAAACAGCTACGCTGCTGCAAAGGATCAGGGATGGGAATGGCTGGTTGGAGGACAGAGCAAGAAGCAGACAAAGCAGAAGATCCTTGACTGTCTGAGGAAATCTGGCACCTAGAAGGTTCTGACTGCTGAATTTGTACAGAATGGTCACAGCATCCAATCCCAGAGCCACTGTTTTTGTTGTGTGGCTGAGATTGTTTGGCTTTGTCATCAAGCCCCAGGCTTATCTCTGCAAGCTGTTTAAATTTCGGGCCTAGCGAATCCAAAAAGCTCTCATCCAGGTCATCGACAATAAAACTGCAACAACCCAGGGAGCCCACAGGAGAGCTAGGGGCACCCAGTCCTTCGTTGTCATAGATCAGCAAGCAGTCATTTGCTTCCTGGCCATCCTCTTCCTCTGCACAGGCAAATGCTTTCTAAAGGTGCAAAAGAGTAGAAAAAAAATTTTACAAGAAACTCAGTTGAAGAATATAATACCATTCCTAGAACACAAAGTTTGATCATGATTGTATAATTGAGGTAATCCATAGAAGACATGCTCTTTGTAACAACAAACTTCTTACAGAAATCATCTGGTGTTTGGAGAGTAGTGTAGTTGACATTTCCTCAAAATTGAGCCTGGCTTAGGTTCATGGTCTAAGTCCTGATCTTGAAGGCACTTACATGGATTGAGGCCTAGGAAACAATTGTGTATGAAGCCTGCAGGTTACTCACTTGCGCCAAGTGTGAGGGTCCCTTTGTGGACTTGTGTTAATCTGTGTCTTTGGGGAATAGGGAGGAGGCATCCCACTGTGCACTGTCTGATGTAGCTCTCACCCAGACTGCAGCCTTTGCCTAGACCTTGCAGGCCTTGCGGGTGCCTATCCTATAACTAGAGCTGACACTACCTCAGAATATCCCAAGAACCCTCATCCCAAGCAAGAGCTCCCTGCGAGTCTATCCTCAGACCAGTGTTAGCCTTCATCCGCTTATAAAAGGGCAAGATCCTGGCACTTACTACTAGTTCTGATACCACAACTATTTATGAGATCTGTTCTAATGGCAACACACCAATCAGGAGGCAGCAACCTGCCTCCCACAGTCCCCTCTGTTCTTGCACCCTTTGTTCCTTTTTGGTTCTATGTTCATCTGATCTTTGATCACATTCCTTCTTCCCCCTTTTATTTTTGGGTCATGGATTCAATGGTTCTTCAACTTTTTATGGATATCACTCCTCTGAAAATGTGAAGAATACTATAACCCTTTCTCATATAAATATATTCACAAGTGTTCTGACCTCCTCCTTTATGGTATAGGAAATACAAAATAAGCTGCTTCGTACTCCTAAGGAGGATGCTGCCGATCGTGAAATGCAGATTTTGCTGTCTGTTGTTATACCAGTTGGAAGGATAAGGTGCCACTTGCTATGTTCTATCACTGTGTGTCTATTTACCCTTTATCCCTTTTGACCAGTAGGCCAATTTGGGCAGCCAGCCTAGGTTATCTGTATCATTTAGGCAAAGAACACTGATTTTTTCTTATGTTTTCACAAGCTGTAAAAACAATGAACTGCAAAACTGAAATATAATCAAGTAAAAAGATCTCTAATGTAAGTAAGGTATCATAGCCACAAACTTTTTCACCAAATTACCTGAGAAAAGTAGGACTCCAAGAAATTCATGTTTATTTCTCCTTCACCACATTCCCTCTGGGTTCCCCCGATGGAATGTCTTGTTCTCATTGTTCCTGACTGTTCTGTAGAACAGAAGCCAAGTCCTATTGTTCTAAATCCCCCAGCATCTCCAGATCCCATATCTGCTCCACATCCTGTAGCTGTTTCAAGCTTGGTGGTCTGTTCTGTCTTCAAATTTTCTTCCACCATCCTTCTTCTGGCACATGTGTTTGTACAAACTTCAAAAAAAAAAGGGGGGAAAATTCTGTAACATCTCATGCTGTGCTTCTTCTGTTTATTGGCCTTTGGTATTCATGATATCAAGTAAAGTGCATCAGTGAGAGAAAACACCGTTAATGACTAGAGGTGATAGGAACATCCCACAGTCTGTTACGTAAGAGTAACAGAGGAGGTGAGAGTGTAACAGGATATTAGCAGATGAAGGAGCTCTGAAAACATGCTAATGGAAAAATATACAAAGGTAGTGGATTTTCAGGGATAATAGGCTGAAATGGAAAAGTAAAAACAAAATATTCAGCACACAGTCATGGACAGCTTTTAATGCAGTGTTTGTTTGTTTTCAGGGGAAAAAAATTTTAATTAAGTTGTCATATTGGCTCAATAGGAAAACCAAAGAGGAAGCATGCAAATTAGCAGATGTTAATTTGAGGCCTTGGTGCTTAAGGACAATTTAATGAGTTGTGACTATTCTGCCTGTTACCTTTACATTACGCTTTCACTGAAAGTTCTTTCTTCCTAGAGAATTCTGAATATAGTTTTTGTTATGTAATTATAGTGGGAGAGCAGGTGAGGATTGGGGTCACTGAGGAAGACAGGTAGTTCTTTTTGGGGGACATCTCATGAAAATTTTCAAGCTGGGTATTTAAAAACAATTTATTGCTAAGTATGGAATTAGGAAAAATTTAATATTAAGCGTTAGGTTTTATTGTGTCTCTAGTGTAGGTCTTAGTTGTGGCATTGAGATACTATGAACAAAATAGTTTTTGGTAAACCAAAGAAATAATTTCACCTATATGACAACTTGAGCGATCTAGTCTCTTTATGATTGAAATAAGAATTGGTAATTGAACCCAAATCAGGACACTGTTAGTTCTGGGGGATGAAGAAGCAACAAGATTGAGGATGTGTACACATGAGGCCTTTACTGCAAATAGTACTAATGTTAAGAATAATCAAAGTTGGGTGGTAGGTACGTAGTACTTGTTTTGTTTTCCTTTACATTTTTCTATATGTGTAAAATCTTTTCTAATTAAAAAATTCATAATTGACTGAGAGATATAGTTCAGTTTATTAAAGTTTGAAAAAAGTAAAACAAATCTTCAGATATTAAAAATGGGGGCATCAGCGGGCAAATGAACATATTGAAGCCAGAACTAGGTGACAAAATTGACTAATAAACTAATAATAAGCCATTTCATTGAAACCCTATTTCAATGATACCCTCTCCAAGCATATATGCATATATGCAAATAATTAAGAAAAGAATTTAGAAAGCTTATTATTTTTCAATATTTCTTATTTAACCCACTATTACTTTCAAAAATAAGTTTGATATCCACTTACCAGAATTTTCCATGAAATCAGTTCCATTGGCATTTATAAATGGCACACAAATATTTGTGATTTCCTGTAAACCATATTAAAAAATAATTACATTAAAAAACCAACTAGATTTTGTGGCTCTTTGCAGAGGGTGACATTACAAGAAACTCAAATTCTTCCAGGAATAACCATCTTTATGATTTGACATCTGAAGAACTAAGACCTTAGAAAGCTCCATTCATTTCAGCACTGACTCACAAGGGGTCTCTTATTTTATACCCCATTACCTCTTTTCCTATCTGAATATAAATAGAATTTTGCTTTATATAGTTGAAATAAATGTTTTACAAACTGGATCCTCACCTTGTCTTTAGGTTGGCCTCCTTCGATTCCCCACTGATGGATTGTTCCTTCTGAACCATCGGGAACTGGGATGAATCCACTTGTTGTCCCCCCTATAGGACCTGTCCCACAGTCACAGGTCAGCAGCAGAAGGGGGACCACTGGGGTAAAGGAAAACATAATATCAAAATATTTGAATCACTTGGAAATGACCAGACATGACATGTGTCAGAAATGTTACAAAGAAAATGCAATATTTTTCATATAATACATATGGAAAATGTAATAGAAAGCACAGTTTCTATAAAATAAAATTTGGTAAATTAAGCATACTAGTATTTCATATGATTATGAAATGAAGGAGACAGGTCAGATCATTCTTGTAATATGTACATTGGTGTCTTAAAATACGCACTGTTTGTTGATTGATCAAGGTGGCTGTTCATTTTTCCTCAATCCTTTTTTGTGATATATTTTTTATTATTATTGCATTTATTTGTACCTGTTGAGGCTATGTATATGGTGTCAAGTGAATACATGTCTGGATGGTCAAGATTTTAGGTGGGCATCGTGTTTTAATAATCTGGTCTCTAATGATCTCTTGGTAAATAGCAGTCAAACCAGCAAACTCTCTTTTGATCTACGTGGAGTGATGATCTACTATCAGTACACTCTCTCTTGTGATTTAAGAGCCTCTAGCATGGAGGGGCCTTCCTGCCAGGGTCAGTATAATTTTTGAATGTCTCTTGTCACCTCTTGGCAATAAAGATTAATATCGCTCTCATGCTAGTGAAGGAAGCGGTTCCCAGGCTATCAGTGACCACACTCCTACCTCTGGCCTGTAAAGGCCTCTTGAGTCTGATGTTTGAACTCAGTTCACACAGAGGCAGCTTAGTGAGGTGTTTCCCTAAGAGCACAGCTGCAGTAGTCAGACTTCTAAGGTTTCAATTTGTGTCCCCACCAATCACCAGCTTGATGTTATGTCATCTTCTCTTGCGTCCAGTAACTCATCCAAAGAATGAGAGAATAAATAAACACTAGCTACATACTCCAGTAATATTTATGGTCAAAATAATGACTTTATCCATGAGTGAGACATTTTCTAAATTGTCTTCACCATATTCAAGTCTCATGAGATTCTAGAATAAAAAGAGAACCCAGGACAAATGAATCATAGACTGTTGTAAGGATTATGTGAGTTAGTACTCATAAAGGACAGCAGTGAGCTCTATAAAGATTTGCTAGTGTTGTTTGGATGGGCCATATCAATTATGCAAATTATTAGTTATATATATGTAAAATTAGGCCAAGTGTATAAAATGAAGTAGTTTGGATGTAATTGCTATATTTTCTTTAAATTTAATAGAATTTTCATATAAATGATACTTCTAAAAGCTTTATTTATTGCCATTTTCTGTTATATGACTTTATTAAATGTTTGGGAAGGATTGAACATTATGAGTTGACAAATTAGTTTCGAAAGGTGGTGTACGCCTATATGGTCAGTATTTTTAGGTGGGCATCACAATTATAGTTTTAGGAAACTTGTTTATTTATCACTATATGTGCAATGTATGTTTGGTTTTTATATGTGTCCACAACAAATTTTTCAAAGTGTTGAGTGTATCTCTACAGACTGAAAAACGTATGTTCTATTCTGTACAAAATTAAAAACATGACATTTTGCAAATGTTAGGATCACATGAAGCAACGACTGAATGAAATGGTTCTCTTGGACTTCATACCCACTTTCTCCATCCATTCATCTCCAAATCCCCTCCACGTACCCCTGTTATGCCTCCTTCTAGTCTCATGTCAAGGCTCTAAAGTTGGCATCTCTCTCTCCTGAACTATAACATTAACCTCCTAACTGTTCTTTTCTTTCTAATTTATAGTATGCACTGTTGGCAGGATTAGTTTTCTAAAATATAAATACGACCATGCTAGCCCTTTATTCAGATATGTTCAGCAACTCCCCTTTCTCAGATCTTAAAGTACAAACACCATGTGTTTTTAAGCCCTTTCCAGGTAGTCCCAAAGCATTCTCCAGTTTCGTCTTCACTCCACAGTTTCCCCATGTGTTAGCCTCCCAAGGCTGTTTGATCCTAAGACATGACTTTGGCTCACGCTATTACTCTCTGGAAGCACCTTTCCTTCTTTTCATATGTACTGTATCTTACTCATTTCCCAAGGCTCAGGATTCTGCAACGCTTATTTAATATTCCTTTTATTCCCTTCTATTACAACTTTATAATGGCATAATTTTTTTCCATATAGTTAGACATGCATAAATCTGTGAACAGCATGAAACCCAGAATCAAGTTCCTGTTTTAGTTGGAAGCTAGAATAAAGACTCACATATATGCACTTGAAAAAATCTGTTGAAACTAATATGATATTGAAACACTGAAACTCTGTGTGTTTCAGCTATTAAACAAAATGCTGCACCATAACTTCAGAATAGTAAACACTTTTGGGGAAAGAGGAAGAATATATGGCATGTGTAGTAGGCCACTAGATGTATATATAACAATTTCTTTTTTAAAAAAAGAGATTTGAGAAAATACAAAAATATTAGTATCTGTTAAGTCTTAGTGGTGATTATAGTTACAAGGCTATACATGTGCAAATATTAATATCTGTTAATTCTAAGTTATAATTATATTTGTGCTTGTCATGTAACTTTCTGTACTTCTGTGTGGTTTAAAAATATTTCATAAATTAAAATTCAAGTTAATGGGTTGAAGTGTATTTGATCGTAATGAAAAATCATTTTAACTCTAAAAGTCTATGGTTTTATAGTAAACTAGGGAAGTGATTGTGAATTTATCAAGTATTTTTCTTATTTATACAAGAATTTACCAAAAGTTCTTTTAGATTAAAAATATGATGCACAAGATTTTGATTTAAATGCAACTTTTTAGAAACCTCCTATTGAATAAATATGTTATACTCTTATTAAAAATAATATGTGTGTAATTTCCATAAATGTATCCAATAAAATTAATCATATTGTATATAGAAACTTTAAATGAGGTATGTAATTCAGGTAGTTAAGCTATTTTGAGCCTATGTGTATTGTAAAGCTCCAAGGCTATGATAACCTATTTTTCCTGAATTCATTTGTCCAGGATTCCCTTTTTATTTTAGAATCTCATGAGACTTGAATATGGTGAAGACATTTTAGAAAGTGTCTCACTCATGGATAAAATCATTATTTTGACGATGAATATTACTGGAGTGTGTAGAGAGTGTTCATGCTTTATTTTTTTCCTCTTGATTGATTCTCTTGTGCTGTTTTCTAAATGTCTAACATTTATGACTTGCTCAGTTCTTATGCTGATGTCTAACACTTATCATTGTAGGCTATGACTAACATACAGGACCTGCTTTGCTGTGCATGAATATAGATTGTTGGCAAGTGATATGTTAACTTTAAACATTTAAGATCCTTCCTGAAAATGCCATTTCTCCCCAGCTTTGCCTAGAAAACAATCAGGGAACCTTTCTTCAGCATTGCAGAGCTCATCACCCATGTAGTGTGAAGGCCTCTGCAGATGCTGACACGCCATGGAAAAAGGAAGGAAGATTTGGCATACTCACGCAGCAACAGCAAAAGGCCAAGGAATATCAGGCCAATGGCAGCAGGCCCCAGCCTCCAAGATGACTTCTTTTCTTCGTTCCTGGCCCCAGGGTATGGGGCTGCGCAGACGTCTCTGTTGTTACACTGACAGACCTCCAGAGACAGACTCTCTGGGATCTCACACTGCCTGTTTTCTTTGTCTGAAACTGTGAGGGAGACTCTGTACACTCCAGGGGACACCTGCCGCTGGCCTATTAGGAGTGCTGAGGTAGCTGCAGAGAAACAATTATTCAAATTAACAGTAGGATAAGGTGTCTTTTGCTCTTAAAACTATGTGTTTTTGTGAACAGAACCAGAGTTGCCATAGACATCACTGTCACAAATAGCGAGGCTAAGAGCAGCGTGAGATTTGAGCAGTTATGAGGGCTTTCAGGGACCGAGGTGGGTAAATTGGCCTGTATTTCCTCCTTGGCCCAGAGGAGCCCATTATTCTCTCTCATGAAGACTCAGGCCTCCCCCGAATTTCCCCACAAAGCTGGGAGGTGGGGGATATGGGAGGGTGGCAGACAGTATTTAAATCCCAGACGTTTCTTTTCTGGGGCTCACCTACTCTCCTGTATGTCTGTACCAAACCCCTTGACTCTTGTTTGGCCCTCTGAGTGTATCCTTTTTGCCTAACTCTCTATTTTTGAGCCTAACTTAGTAAAACTGAATTTCTGCTTTGGCTGGTGCTCCGCCCACTGCCCCTGTCAGTGCTGATCCCACGAGCCTAATGCTGGTTGTATTGGATTCCCTGTCATGAAGGCCTGTTGGCTGTGTGACTCATGGGCATTGGTTGCTCTCCATTCCCTGTTGCTATGTTGTCCCTTTCTGAGTGGGCTCTAGCCGCAGCTCTTGGTAGCAGCAGGGCTGTGTTGCTTGAATTAGTCTTATTTAGTTAGTTTACATTTCATATTAATTTGTATTAGTTTCAGGTGTATAGCCTAGTGTTGAATCAGGCTCCACCAAGCCCTTTGCCAGTGCGCCTGGTCCACCCAGTCCCACCACAGTTGTTTGGCCTGGCCTCACCTGAGCAGGTGTGTTTAGTACCAGGTCCTGTCTCTCTCTGATATTTCTTTTGCAGCCTTTTCATTAGCTATGTGTCTGGTAAAACGATCTAGAGTTAAATGCTACATGTGTAATTTGGAGCTAAAATCTTACACCAAGATCAGTAAGGCCCCAGGACAGAAGGCCGTGGAGAACAAGTTCCCTTTGGTGACACTAGCAATGACTGATACCTGTGGCTAGGACACCACACAGTACACTTACGAAACGAAGCAAGATTGGTTTGGAAAAGAGCTAGAAAAAAGTGTGTTCATTTACAAGGGATTTAAGGTGGCCTTGTGGTCGCTATAGAATTTAGAAAGGGAGGAGAGTCTTATTAAGTCTAATTGCTGTTTCTATGAGACTCTTGGAAGAGATAGGAAATGTAAAATTAACATGATAAAGGCTAAGAGAAAAGGAAGGATGGATTAGCTCTATCCTACTGGCTAATGGGTTTACAAATTTCTGTTCCCCATGTGCTAGTGACTCCTGACTAGAGACACGCTAAAAAGCATTTCCTATGAGCTTTGAGCAGGCCGACACTTCTCATACTTTGTCTGTTCACAGCCTGCCCAGTAAGAAAAGTTTATGTATTTAGAAATCTAAACAGCTCTGCAATAAAATAGATGCCTGCATTTAATGTTATTTTGGTGTGCTCTGAAGGTAGAAATAACCTATAAAAATAAAAAAAATTTGGAGTCCACGTGAAAAACAGAAAATATTAAATTGTGCTAACATTATACAATATCATTTCTTTCCTCTTTGGAAAAGAGAAGGAATTCATGAGGCGAGGCTCACATCTTCACTGCAGAGAATTTTTTCAGTTGCACTTGAAAAAAACTTGCTCCTACATGAGCTCTTACCCTTCTGAAAATATAAAGAGGCAGGAAGTTTTGTTTATGGATGTGACTTCATTACTCACCATTAAGAGTTGTGAGGCTCCACATAGCTGGCACTTTTATAGATTCATCCACCAGTGAAAATGTGTAGGGGCCAGTATATTTACTCCTATCGTGTACTATAGCTGAGACAACCACTGAAGGTGATGAGCTGCAAATCGTTTGCTTTTCGAGGACAGTTGTTGGGCAATCTTCATTAAAACCAGGTACTTCCACATATATGGTGCCTGTACATGTTTTACCTGTGTTTTCTGTAAGAATGACATTTTACAGTTAAAAAAGATAAATAGAACGAGTTGTCCAAAAAATTAACCTTTTAAATTTCTCTTTCACATAGCAAGTTAAGTGTGTCTTTTTTCTCATGAGAGATTGTATTTGTTATTCTCACCAGGGAAAATGTCCTACAATCTCCACATCTTGTAAAAAGCTAATTTAAATGGATAAACTTGGCCGGCATCTCTCATTTGTAGCCTTCGCTATTAAATTAATATTCTTGGGTCCAAGACCTGTATGGTGATAAATTGACTGACTACAAATGAAATCAACATAAAAACAATAGTTTTCTTCAATGTATCCCACTTCATGATCCCAGCACTGGGTGAAAGATTTTTGCTTCTAAAGCTTGAGCCAAAGTATTTGGAATAAGAAATGATTTATTTTTATTACCTAGGCTATAAAAGTGTATTGAAGAAAAACTTAAATATGTTGACAATCAAAAACAATAAAATGACATCTCTCAGCGGTGGGATTGAGTTGTTTCTGTATTTTCCCTTCACGCTGTTTGCTGTTTTCCCAGATGGTATGATTTTTGGTATTCATTCTTTTGTTTCATTTTTATGTGTGCTTATTACCTTGAGCATAAATTAATTTTATACTTGGGGAAACACATGTACTCAATGGATATTTTTAAAACATCCCAGAAGATTTAATTGTTTAATGATATAAGCACATGAGGTCTCTAGAAATAATTCATTTTATAGGGAACTCACAAAGGCACGTCATATTTGAGTTGCGCTTCTCTGATAGGATTTCAGTAACAATCTTTATGCATCCTTCTCAAACCCAGAAATTCTGGTGGATCTATAAATTCCTGTCCCAACCATAACAAGCAGACACAGGACGGAACACAGAATTCACTGGTACAACAAACTCCACTGAAAGGTTGTAATGCTCGGTCTTCTAGATTCAGCTGCCTCAGACTTGAGACCCAAGGCCCTAACATCATTTATCTAGTGATAAAGGTAATTTATTAAATGAGCATAATCATCTATTCATAAATAAATGCAATTGGAGTAACATTTTTAAAAATGTGATTGACATAGTTTTTCTTACCATCGATGGCCAGAATCTCAGCTGTGATTGTTTTGTTAACGATGAAAGTAGAATCCCGATCAATGTTTTTGACAAATTCGATTTCAGCCGTTTTTTTATTAATACTTAGCAAACCACCTTCATTATGTCCCATGATATATCTGTTTTATAATTAAAAATGTAATAGTTTTCTTTCAAATGTGGGATGTTATCTATTTAATGAAAATGACTCATTTTATGTTTAATGTATTTATATTGAATAAAAGACATTGAAATATATTTTTATAAAGAGTCGCAGAAAATTAACATATCAGCAATGACCAACAGTACTGTATAATCCTTACGTATGTATTAGTCTGGTTTTTCACATTTATGCTCTGTATAATAACCTAACTGTGTCTTTGCTCTTTATACTACATTAACTACTTTTGGAGCTCTTAGATTTTAGGCATATATGAGGAAAGCACCACCAAAAACGAGAATTATCTTCTAGGGGCAGGCGCCTTGTAGTACAAGCTTCCCTCACTAGGTGAGTGTTCTAGGCGCCCATCTGTATCAGTGTGCCAACTGGTGTTGTTGTGAGAGTCTGCCTTCTGTTTCAGTGAATTTTTTTTGAAGACTCTTTCTGTGCGTTTGCCCATTTCAAGATGGAAGATTTACAAGCACACTTAGCCAAACTGTGCTGAGTGTTCAGCAGTTTTCAACCAAAACCGACGTGACCCTCGTGTCCTACCTTCCCTGTTCATTTGATCTTGCTCTGAGTGACCTTTTTCCTCCCCTGATGAAAAAGGTCCTCAAAGAGGAATGTTTTGCTGATGTGGAAGAGGTGAAACAAAAAATAGCAGAAGCACTAAAAAGCATCAAAATTGATGAGTTCAAAACTGTTTTGAGCAGTGGAAAAAACATCTTGATAGATGTATGACATCAAATGAAGAGTGCTTTGAAGGTGACTGAACTATAAATGCATGATTTTTTATAACTAAATTCCAGTTTTTTTGGGTCCCGCTTTGTCTTTGTATAGATTGTTCTATCTTATTGCACTATAATCTTCTGAGGAACCTCTACTCTTAAGACTCCATTGAAAGTTTTTATGAATCTTTTCCCTGAGCGCTCTAGACAGGCTAAAGCATTTTTCTTTTAGTTTACACTTTAACTTATTCTTAATGTAATCTTTGCTTATAGTACAATATCATCTAATGATTTAGCTATATATCTCTTCTCTAGTTATCCAGTTCCTTGAGTTGGCCACCTTTGTATATCTTTGTATTCTTGCCATATAATAGTTTAGGTGTTATTTTGTAATAATTTATAGATTAAGACTACATCAAGGAATAATAAAATGTTACTAAAATAATCTTACCTGACATTTGAGGCAGCTTTGCCAGTGTCTCCATCAATGGCTTGATACTTTCCCAGGATATAACCGACCAACTTTTTACTACTTATGCCTTTCTGGACAATAAATGTCTTGGAAGCAGGACGGAATATAATTCCTTCTTGCACATTTACAACTTTAACTGTGACTTTGGTTGACTGCACTCGATAATGAGAGATTATTGATTGATGAAATTCAGCTTTGTTTTTGACGGCGACACTAAATTGCGCATTTTGTACTTGTTCATAATCTAGAGGCTAGAGTGGGAATAAAATTAGAAGAAATGTCACAGAAATATAGCTTGGCAAACCCAGAAGAGGACAAGAAAACTCTTATATGCTATGAATAGATCCTTCTATTTCTATAAGTAGACACAGAAATAGCAACATAGTTTCAGAAATCATTGTAATGGTGAGATAGAGAAATCTTTAGAATTCTTAACCCATGACACCTCAGTTTGGTAGTGATACAAAGCAGGGCACATCTTTTTAGACTAGCAAAAGAGCCTTATAGCGCATGCAGGCTGTGAGGTGCAGTGGAACAGAGCTGTGATGGCAGCATGGGTTGAACCCCGGTTCTGTTACTTACAATCTGTGTAACGTGGGGCAAAGTATTTAATATCTTTGATCCTCAACTTTCCACTTCTGAAAAAAATCCCTTACCTCGTCAGATTGGTGTGCGACTGAACAAATGGAGGCCCCTTATTCATTCCTATAAATGGCGGTCCTGGCCATCCACAGAGTAATCATTGGATTCATGTACAATAATGGCTTAAAAGTTCTTAGATGGCAAAGGCAAACTATCTTCGTAAACTTTGTTGGCAAAGAGGCTCCTGCAAAGCAGTGGGTGGGTGGCCCATAGGCCCTTCGTAGGCTCATTTGCAGGTGGTCTTGCATGAGAACTATTTGTTTGACCCTCTTAGGGAGGTGGTCCAAACAGAGGCCTGAGGAATCCCAGGAAAACATTTCTATTCACTAGTAAAGTTTTTGAGGTTGATGAGATAAGGGAAATGATCTTTTGGTTACATTTGTGTATTACTGAAAAGAACCTTGCAGTGACTGGCTCTATGGGCTCAAGCATTCCCTAATGGAGGGAGAGAGAAAAATCTGTAAGTAGATCATTATAACACACTGGTAAAGTCTGTTATTCCAGTTGAAGGGCAAGTGATAGCAGAACTTACAGAGCCTGTGTGTGAAAGTGAGTGAATACCTGTCCTTAGAGAGTTAGGAAAGGCTTCTGAGAGGTTTTCATGTGAGCTGAGCGTTCAGGGAAGAGGAGGAGTTATTCAGGCAGAGGTGAGAGCACTTGCCAACGCCAGAGTTACAGAAGGTGGTGGGGAGCGGGCTGGCTGCCAGTGATACGAGGCCTCACCTCGGAAGGGTGAACCTCATCTTAAAGGCCGGCTGGTGGTCATTAACCCTGGGTGCCTATCACAGTCTCCTGGGGAGCTTTTAAGAACCGCCACAGGGCCTTCCCACAGGCTAAGGGAACCAGCCGGTCTCACAGTCCCACTGGCTAGGAGAAGCGGGTGGTTCAAATGAGCAGTCAGAATTGAGGGCTACCTTTACAGCCAGCAGAGAATTCGACAAAGCTTTAAAGGAGAGAGCGACTGGTCCTAATTGGTTTTAAGAAAAACGTGGTAGTGGACTGGCTTGGCAGTAGGAGAACAAAGGGAGGGTAGCTAAAGGAGGTAGGGACATCTGTCAGGAGGGATTGTGGTCACATAGCAGGGAGGAGGCAAGGCCGTGTTACAGCGCAGAGAAGAAGGGAGAGCAGGGCCGTATTCTAAGGGCAGGTCCTAGGGTAGAATTTGATGACTGGCTGTAAGTGGTGAGGAAATGCCACAATGAAAGGAGAAGGCCCAGGTTTCTAGTTTGGGAAACTGAATGGCAAAAAATGCAGGAGGCAGGGAGTATCTCATTCTCAGGTAGTCCTGGGAATTTATGACATCATTCGTGCAACTGAGGCTGGCTGTGGCCCTCTCTCTGAAAAGCGGAGTGATGAGAACGGCTTGCACGACTTCCAGCAGTCCCGTATTCCAGAAATCTCCTTGTTAAGGGAATATTGCGGTCCTGTTATTCTGCTGGACTGAAGAAATTAAAGAAAGGAGTTTCCACATAGCCCAATATCCTGTGCCAACTACTGTCCCAAGTAGTGGTTATTTTTTCCTAGTCTATGCAATTTCCAGGCAAAAATATCCTGGTTTATTCCACTTTGTGGTGTGTGTATGATGTTTTCTATAAAGAAGTGGTATTTTTAAAAAGGACATAAAGTTTACTTGTAGAAATAATAGTTTTGGCTAATAGAGAATATTTTTGCCACTGAAGGGAAATCAGACTTTACCTTAACCACCTTCAGGATGCCTTCATTCGTTCTGGGATCAGTTTGTATTTCAAACCAATTCCCTTCATTTCCAGAGGTAAAAAAATATACCGCAAGCCAATTATCTGTGAACTCTTCATCCAAATCTATTACTTGAAATCGAAGCAACTCAGAACTTAAAGTATTTTCCTCAATACGTGCTGAATACTAAAAAGGAGAGAAGCAGAACTTCAGAGTCAATGTCGAAAATACCCCATGTCAGGTTTTATCAAAAGGAATTAATTATATTTATTCTGAATGGTATTAATCATTAATTCTCAAATTTTGTATTGCCTCCTTGTCACAAGAACTTAATTATTTTTTAAAAGAAGAGTGCAGGGAACTTAAATAGAGGCTAACAAGAGGGCAAATGCTGAATTAAGGTGGAAAAGTATATAATAAAATATGTATATTCTTGAAGTGGTGACGGGTGTACCTGCAATTCCCTGAACATTGGGAAGTTATCATTGACATCCTTCACTCTGATATTGCTTTCACACTGACTTGACAGTCCTTCTCCATCTCGGTCTGCACCACTCACAATTAGACGATAGCTGCTAACTTGCTAAATTTGGAGGAAAGAAAGAAAGATAATTAATCTCTAGTGCCAAGAGTATGAATGACAACTACTTGCTTCCTATGAGTAAGGAGTGGAAAATAGTCAAGTTCATAGTTTATTGGATCATGCGCACTGTTTTCTCTCCATCAGAGAGGACGTATGTGGGGCGCTGGGTGGTTAGGTAGGAGTTTTTAAGGGACTAGAATAAGTTTTCTCTTGTGAGCTTCTTAGGGGAAGAGAGCACACTGAGGACGAACATGGGCAATGATGACGGTGGGGTGCTTGTCTGAGGGAAGCTCACATACAGTTTTCCTGTCCGTCTGTTCAGAAAGTCATTTCTATAAAAGTAACATAGAGTACGATGGGGGCAGTGCCTGGTGAGAGAGATGTGGTGGTAGGATGACAGGGAAGAGAGGGGACGGAGATTCTTTAGCTTCTAGACGCAGGGGGTAAAATGAAAAGAAGGCAGGAGGAAAAGTGTGTAATCGAGATGTCATTTTTCCAGACAGAAATGTCTCCCTTCATTTATGAAATTTCCTTTTCTTCCATCATATGAGGAATTTGTCACAGTTGGTCTTTGCCCATGTATACCAATGCCTTCTTTTCCTCTCCCGCTTTAAGGCCCACTGGTATACGGACACTTGTACATTGAGGGTACAACTGATTGGGCAGGTGCTAGGTACGTGTACCACCCCACTGAAATCACATTAGAATGCAAACAACATCCCTAGATTGGCCCATCGGAGTACCGGGAACCTCTCTTTCTTTCTCCTTTCATTCTCAGGTAAAAAGGAGTCACCTCTTTTGGCTTTCTTAAATAAAACCCTTTACTCTTAAACGCTCCCAAGTGCCTTGCTTTACCTCTCGATCAAGAGAATTGGTCAAAGTACGGACTTCCCCAGTGTGTCTGCTGAGGAGGAACATGGGGTTGCCTGCAGGTTCCTGAGAGACGATTTTGAAGGCAATTTTCGAGTTCAGATTGTTTGGTTCATCTGCATCTGTGGCATTTAGTATCATCACCAGTGAGTCTAGGAATACAGAAGTTCATTAAAGAATATTACGTTCACATTAAATATTCAACACAAGTTCAAATTAATCTTTATTTTTTAAGATCTTATAACTACATGCATGTTTGACAAATATTACATGTCGCTTGCTGTCTGTTTTTATCAGGTAGAACTGTATTACCTTCCTTAAAAATCTTCTAGTTTTCCTTAAGCCTTGGCTCTGTTGGGGTTGAAAGTATTTTCTGTGTTTGTTTCTTCCGTTGATGGATGGCCTTATGATTCTCCCCTTTCCTCAAATTATGCAAATAATGGGCATGTGTCTCTGATCCTTATAATCTAAAAGGCTCTGCTGACTCATCCAGGCTACCTAAGACCAGCTCTTTAGCTTTGTCACTGTTGGGTGCTCATGTTACTTGTATGTATAGAATAAGATACTTTGACCTCGTAACAGAACCATGCCTAGAAATGTAATGGCAGTGAAAAATTAACTACAAATATTAGAAAGAAGATTCAGGTTGTCTTGATGAGTTTTTCTGAAAAACTGTTGAGACTAAGAATAAATTAGCTTGTAAAAATGCTGTACTATAGTGATACTTGTATTTGAAAGATGAAAAGAATTAGCAGGTGTAGGTTCTGTAAAAAGACTTACTTGCAGGGCTGTTTTCTTCAATTTCACCCATGAATATGCTCTGTGAAAACACTGGAGCATTGTCATTGATGTCTAAAATTTTGACTGTTAATGTAAGTGGTTTCTCTACTTCTCTTCCTTGGACATTTAGAGCATGACATATGATCTAGAGGAAAAGGTAAAATGTTAACTGTTACTCAACAAACTTAATTTTTATCCTTTGGGTCTGTCCTGGCATGTATAGAACCTGTGGGCAAAGGAGAAAAACATTTCCCCAAAGAGCAGACAAAGTTGGAAAAAGTACCCACCCTGGGCAGAGCCATTGGGCCCGCTGTCCCTTCCTCCAGGCAGATGCTGACTCAAGGCAGGACGAAGCCCCTGGGAGCTGCAGGCTTGAGTTTAGCGCTCACTCATGCACCTCCTGGTGTACTCAGGGCATTACTGCAAGTGGAGGCTCTTTGTTGAGGGACTAATATTGTTCTTTGTTGGTGGATTGATTTATGCACTATCTCTTCTCTAAATTAACCAGTACAAAAGTGTCATCTTCTAAAGTCGTGCATGAGGGGTAAAAAGGGTCCCAGAGTTGAAGACACTACTTACGTTGAAGCTTGGGGTTTTTTCACGATCCACTATGGATGTTATGTTAATTTCTCCAGTAATTCTGTTAATAACAAAGATTCCCAAAGGGGGCTGATCAATTCCTATTCCAGAAATTTGGTAGTAAATTGTCTGATGTGCCTGGAAGTCTGAAGTAATCTGCAGCCAAAAATACCCAAAATGTTAAGTTGATCATCACTCAGGCCTTTTCCTTCCCCCTTTTTCCTCCACCTCTATAGTCTTAAGTCATTTGGTAATTTCATTCACCCTTTCTGACTTTGTGCTATTTACTTTTTATCTTGATAGATACTAGAAATATGACATAAATTCCCACTGTTAGCATGGACCAGTATGTGTTAATCATTTTGGCTTTAGAATATTTGCTTAGATTGTGGCCACCATGGTGCTATTAAAAGGTTGAGAGAGTCAAAGATACAATATTGACAAGGGTACTTCTGAATGCTCCCTTTTAACATTTAAAAGAAGACATTTATTTTAGCTTAAATAGGGAGAGCTGGAGAGAAAAAGGGAAAGAGACTATATAGTAAGTGTTAAAAATATGTATTAAAATGTATTGCTTCTTACTATTATAATTTTTAAGCTTTTTAATATGGAAAATTTCAAGTATATATAAAATTAGTATAGTATAATAAACCCACTGTATTTTATCACCCAGCTCCAACAATTAAGAATAGACAGTCAATTCAATGGTGACTCCCAACCATTTTTCTAATTGTCTTAACCGTATTATATATATATATATATATATATTTTTTTTTTCTATTTGCTACATCTGGCTCAAAATAAGGCTTAGCCATTGAAATTGGTCCATGTGTCTTTAATTATTTTTTACTACTCTAGGACCATAGTTACTTCACTTCTCTCTCTATTATTATTATTGAGGTTTTTTTGGTAGATATCAGGTTATTTGTTTTGTGGACTCTCAAGTCTGCATTTTGCTAATTGGAATCGCCATATTATTTTAATTTACATCTAATATATTTATTCTAAAAACTCACACTGCCCCTGAGCATATGACTTACTTTGGCAATTGGGTTTCTTTTCGAGTTGTCTTCTTCTTCTCTGCAGGGTCTTGCAAATTTCACCCATTCACGTTTGTATCTCCTTTTGGCTTGTTGTATTGCTGTTCCATTTTCTCCATGCTGTCCTTTTGTCTTATGTAAAAAGGGATTCCATTTTACTGTGTACATTGTTGGAAACTTTGCTTTGAGAATTGACTATAGACACTCAGGATGAAGAGCCCCCTATGTTTTAAGACATCTAAGGCTGTTTGGTGTCTTAGCTGATCTACCTCATACTTTGTCAAAGAAGAAACATTAAGTAACTGAAACAATTAGAAAGCTCTGTGATTTATAGTATAGCATTTAATCATATTTTATATTTTCTTTATATATTTCACAGTGTCTAACTATTCTGGGCACATAGGGCCTGTTTAATTAAAACCTGTTAATTCAAGAGAATACAACATACTGCACAAGATAAATTATATTAATAACATTTATACATTGCTGGTATTTAAACATTATTGGGTTAATTGTTAGAATTTTAATTTATTTTCACAATTAAGTTGTTAATTTAAAACATTTAATATTTATTTTCCTGAACATAGTTTTAATTTTTTTAACAAAGCCATTATTTTAATTACAAAAAAACTTTTCATACTTTACCTCTATTCTCAGTTCTCCATGAACCAATACAACCACCTGCAGACATTTAAATAAAGTCAAATTAATGTGATATTTTCTAATAAGCACTAACTACATAAGGTAATAATCCTGATATTCACATTCTACTGTTCATATTATATTTTCTATTTCAGAAAAAGTAGATTTGGAAAAACAATATTCAAAGAGTAAAACCCTCACAAGAAAAAGCAAATGCTCTCAATATGAACAAGTTCTTCCAGTTCTTTAATCTGACTACAGAATTTTAAAGATATACAGGATATATTGCATATACAGATATAAGGAGTATATTGGATTTTGAAAACCTATTCTTAACAGCCAGTTGTAGCAACCAAACATTTTAAGTCTGACCGTTCTATAAATACTTCCTAGGAGATATGGAAATTATTTCTTTGGCAAACAACTGCAATCATCATTGTGATAAACTTCAGCAAGTCCTGTAGGCATTGTTAAAAACCATGACCTACCCAACTGACTTGCACAAAGGCAATCCTGTATTAGTTAGCTGCAGGATAAGGCCTTTTGTTTTTGTTTTTTTATTGTTCAAGGGTGGACATATGGAATGGAACTAGTCTAGTTTAGAGAATGGAACATAAAAGGTGAGGATATGCTATTCCAGTCCTGAGTACTGTTTGCAGTGGGACACAGATTTTCTCATCTTTGCTCTGTTCAATTTCAATATTGAGCTTAATTTTCTTACTCATTTGAAAAAATTATATGAGGATACAATGTGAAGGCAGGCAAGCCAAGGTCTTTATTCCTCAAGAGCATATGGGTCTTACATCTTTGTCACTTTCCATCTTGTTTTCTGCCTGGAATGCATTCTTCTTCCCACTCCACTCACTTAAATATTACTCATCCTTTAAGATCAGTTCTTTAAGTTCCAACAACATCCATGAAACTGTCTTTACTGATGTCTTCTTTCCTAAATGTGTACAACACATACTCTGATCCATGCAATTTAACCCATAATGGCTTGCCATAATTTATTATTTCTTATTGTTTTATGTGCATTATAGTATAAGCCAAGAGAATTGTAAACTTTCCAGGTCAGTGTTTTAATATTATTATTTTTTTGCAACCCTTACAATATCTGTCCCTCAGCAGATGTTTCACAATTATTTGCTGATCCACTGATCACCTGATCTGAAGAAAACCTGCTAGGTGAAAGACTGTGAAAAATAAATCAGAAAAAAAATTAAAGTAATAATAATAGTAGCTAGTGTTCACTATGGTTTTGTGTCAGTTGATGTACAAAGAGCTTTATATTTCTTATTTTACTTAATACTTAGAGTGGCCTTCAGAAGGAGGTTCTATTATTATAATCCCTGTTTTATGGACAAAGAGAATGAGTCCTTTGTCCCAGCCGACAGACCTAGTAAAGCCAGGATTTGAACGTTGGCAACCTCACTCTCCACTACATTGGATTCTAACCAAAATGGGCATAAATGAATAAATAAAATACTAGTGGTAGGGAGAAAGTTTTATAATAGTTCAATTAAGATTTTCCTGGCAAAGGCTGGGGGTTACTCCTAAAACAATATAGATTAATTACATTGTTTGTTTTGAAAAAAATATAATAAAGAGATAAGTTCAAGTCTGAACCAAAAGAGTAACTATATCAGACATAGGATACCAAGACTTTTCCATTCTAAAAATTTCTTTGAAATCTTTATTTCCAAGAGTGTATGTGTAAATTGTCATGAAAACGGACCATTACATATTGTTATAACAGGTCTCAAAATGATTATAGCTTTGCTGCTCTTTACTAAACACTATCATGAGTTTTGTGGGAAAGAAGACCAGAGCAGTGTAGTAACTGCGCTACTCCTTTCTCAGGGAAGGGATCATTGACCAGACATGCTTCTTTTTACAGGAAAACTGGGAACAGTCACCCAGAAAATATGAGTCATGTTTGTACTAGCCCCACAGAGAGTGGTTCTTCTAATAGACGCTGAAGTGCAATTTCTGTTTTCCTGGGAGGCATAGGAAGGACAAACCTGAAATTATGGAGGATGAACACTGCGGACAGTTGTTTCTTGTTTGTTCAATCTTTTCACAGATTGAGAGTTCTTAGAGAAGTTATTTAGTCTGAACCTTTACTTTTTCTCATCCTGTGTTTTAAAATCAAGAGCGTTCCCTAATTTTAGAGAGTGTTTTGAAAATGTGATTATCTTGCTCTTCTTGGAATATGGAGTAGTTCAGAAGAAACACTTCTAAAATTTGAAATGCTCTTTAGACATTTAGAAATATAATTGTAACCTTACATTGTTTAGAATAGTGTTTTAAAAACCTTAATTATTTTAGTTAATACTTATCTGTGGCTACTTAATTATTATAGTTAATTTGATAATATATTATTTTCAACATTTAATAACTATTTCAGTAGTTTCCTGACAATATAAATCAACTAAGTTGTCTCTTTTGGTGGCATGGATTGGAAGTACCAATGTGGAGAAATCACTCCTTAACTTGAGAATTCCTATTATTTTCTTTCTTCCTCTTGTTTCCTGCTTATTTTGATAATTTTGATTATATGGTTTTTAAAGCACTGAATGGCATAAATACATTGGTATAGATGAGAATTAGAAATATTTTATTAAAATCAAATCAGATTGTTACATTAATAAAATAACATGAAATAAACTTATTTGCTATCCATATGCCCTATTTGCTAATTAAAAAGTATATAGTTATATCATAAAGGTTTGTACTGAATATTATAGATACACAATAAATTATTTTTAAAGATATGAGTGTCTAGATTTTTAAAATCCATTTATAGTAACAGGAGCTACTTTACTTAGTTTGGCTATAAATTTGTTTGGAGTTCAAGCTTCAGTGTGGGGAGGGATAGACAGCTGGACCATGCATTAGATTCATGGAGCTGGTCCCAGCTGGCCCAGGGCATAGCAACTCTTCCCATCTCTGGAATGGGTATAAGAGAGGACCTCACCCACCCACCTCTGGGAAATTTGAAGAATGAATGAGATAATTCAAAGATATCATACCAATTTTTAAACATGATTTTGTATTTAATTATTTTTGGAAAAAAAGTTATGCAATCTATATAGGTTGGTGATATCATTTTTATAATTGGTTAGATGCAGTGTGTGCATTAATGTGTCAGGTCATAGAGGTCATTCAATGCATCTTTAATAAATTATATAGGTACAATTCAGAAGAAATGAGTGATTTCTTTGATAATATCCAATTATCTATCTTTCCTTTTTAAAATGAAAAGTTAACAACCCCCCCAACCCCAAATTCTAATAAACTTTGTATTCATCAAGGCAAATTTCTTACTTGAACAAAAATGGTATGTTTATTCCCTTGGAAATTCTTATTTAATTTAGAACAATTCAATTTCAGTAGCTGAATTTTAGAGTACACTCAATTAATTTTGAAATTTATACCTTGTATTATGAGAGAGATGCTAATAAAAACAGATACCCGTGGATATTCTCAAGTGTTTATTTTAAATGCTGTATAAGTTGCAGTCAAGTCTACTAATAGAAAATTAGACTCTGGAGCCTGAATCTCTGAATTAAATCCCAGTCTCACGATGGACCATCTGCATAATTTGGAAACATTACTTAATCTTTCGGTTTCCTCATCTGTTAAATAGGAATAATAATTCTATTTTCTTTGTAGTTTTCTTGTGAGGATTAAATGAATTAATAGGTGTAAAGTTCATTAATAAGTGTGAGTCCTAGCCTGCAGTATTTACTTAATAGGTGTTAATCACTTCTGTCATCAAACTTTAAAAAAAGGTATGCACAAGCCACTTTGATATGCAGTGACCTCTTATTATTACTATTTTCATCAAGGCACATAAGAGCTTTCTCTTTCTGGAGCATCAGAAGAGACAAGAACCAGTTCTCCTCTGTACAACTGTGCAGTTTGTTCCTTGCACAACTCCAGGGAGAGCTGCTGGCTTTGTGGTTTATGTGAATGCATCTCTAGCAGTGTGCAGCCTGGCCAACTGCACAGTTGCCATGCAAGAAAAATGTGCATACTAGACAGACTCAATTATTCAGCGTATTGTTATAGATAGTAACCAATTGCCTACATACTCTTCTTATGATGAACTTCCCAAAGCAAGCCCTCACCTTAGGCAATCAGATTGACTCTTAACTGGAAATGAAGAACCAAAGGCTAGAGGTTTATGGGAAACCTAGTGAGTACAGAGTGTCCTGGTTCCCAGTGAAAATCAGTTTTAGGTATTAGGTAAGTGGGAAGTGGTTCTTGGTAGAGGTAATTACATCTTTCCTGACTTCTGCTCAAGTCAGGCAGGGTTGGCCAGTATTGCTTGCCACGGTTATTCTGATTCTGGAGCTTAACTTTGAGAGAGGATCATGAGGAAATTGATTTTCATACATTTACTGGCACTAGAAACCAGATTGTTTCATCAATCAAGAGAAGAAAGATACCTCAAAGATTTTTCTTCTGTTAAAAATTTGGGTCATTCAGCCTACAATGTTTTCCCAAATTTTTTTTCTTCTATAGAAGAAGGTGGTTGAAGATATTTTCTCAGTATCTACAGCACATTCTGCCAGAACTTGACATTTAAACCACTTCTTTTTTTCCCAGCCCTACCACTACTAACTTTAAAACATTGTGCTTGGAAGGTATGTGGATTTCAGATATGTCTATTAGTTTTCTAATGAGTAAATTTTTATATAATATAGAAACATAAAATTAAAAAGCTTATTGTCTAGATGGTAACAGGAGTGCTATGTGACAAATTGTGTTTCATATTTTGCGGACTATAAGCATTGAACAATGTGTCCTTTGAAGACGAACATTGTTTTCAAAAGGTTAAATCTCTGAAGATAAGCATTTTTCAATCACAAATCCTTTCCCTCTAATGTATATTTTGTATTGCATAAAATGGATGAAACTAGCACAGGAAACTGATAAATAAATATTAAGGCAAAATATTAAGATGTTATCAAGAATCATCTTAATTACTAAAATATTACAAATGATAGCTTTCAGAGTCTTAGAAAGCACTTTATATTTTCCAAAGCGTTTTTTTGTGCACTGTTTTTTCCTCACTACGGTCACTTTCATGTAGGCAGTGGTCTATGATTATTCTTGACAGTTGAGGAAATAAGGCCTGGAGTGAGTCAGTAGCACAGGTGTAGACAGAAGTCTGTGACTTTGTTTTATATCTCACCTCTAGCCAACCCTTGTGTGGTTATAGGATGGTGGGATTAGTTCAAAACCTCCAAACACGTCTTCCAACTTTCAGGCTCCACCCTTCCACAACAAAAGATGTGCATCCTCACTAGACAATGCTTTTAAAAACATTGCTTTTTTTCCCATCATTGCGCTATTTCGAAACTCTGGGTGGTTCTCCACTTCTGAAAGGATTCCATTGGCCGTCACAGAATGCACTTTTCAATATGACCCTCATCTGCTTTTCTCACTCATGTCCAGATTCCTCAATGCAAACTCTCATTCCAGCCAAACCGGTGTGTCCAATTCCCCTAAACAAATGCCATTTGCTCACTTTGTTTCAACAAGGGAAGATACCCCTGTTGGCCCATCCATATGCATCAAATCCTAGTCCTTGGAGCCTTGTCTGCCTACATCACTCCTGACTGATACCTTCCACTAGTAACATTAGTAGTAGATCAGCATTGTCTAATGGAAGTATAATGAGAATCATATATATAATTTTAAATTTTCTAATAGTCATATTAAAAAAGATTTAAAAAGGTAAAGTTAATTTTAACATATTAGATAAGATATATCTTATCTAATATATCCAAAATACTATCATTTCAATATGTCAGCAGTGTAAAAATTATTAATGACGTATTTTCCATACAAAGTCCTCAAAACATGATGCACATTTTACGCTTAACAGCACACTTCAATTCAAACCAATCTCATTTCAAGGGATTAATAGCCACTTGAGGCTAATGGCTACCATTCTGGGCAGAGTGAGTCTAGACCACTTAGACCACTCACTCAGACCCACTCTGTTATATATACACGTCTGTGTATACTTTTGCATGTAACATGCTTGTGTACATGTTTGTTTCATGAGGAGAGGGAGTTACAGTTTAGAGAGGCATTATTCAATTGTTCATTTATCCATTCTTCAAACAATTGAGTGTCCACTGTAAGATAAATATTATAGTAGACCCTGGGGATACAAAAGTGAATGAGACAGCCTTCAGTATGAGGATCTCACAATCACTCTAGAACGAGAGGTATAATAAGAGTGATATACCTCAAAGCAGGGAAAGAGCTCCCCTAAGCTTGTCGGGGTCCAATTTTATGTCCTTATGATAATACTATTCTGATGCCCACTGCCTTTTGTCTCCTAGCTTCCTAAATTGGTGATTGCCTTGGATATCTGGATTATTAGGCAGCCTGTGGTTTGGTCCAGAAATGACCATCTGAAAATATGAGAAGTCATACAACTTTCACATTTCTGTTTACAATATTTTTGGGTCAAATAAATATATTAGATAACCAAAACAATTACAGTTGACCCTTAACAATGTGGGAATTTTTTCCAATAAACACTGTAAGTATATTTTCTCTTCCTTATGATTTCTTAATAACATTTTCTTTTCTTTAACTTAATTTATTATAAAAATACAGTTTACAATATATAACATACAAAATATGTGTTAATTGACTGTTTATGTTATTAGTGAGGTTACAAGTAGTTAAATTGTTGGGGAGTCAAAAGTTATACATGGGTTTTTGACCATGTGGGGGTCAATGCCCCCTAACCTACTACCATGTTGTTCAAAGGTCAACTGTAGTTATATTGTCATAATAGAAATAGACTCTAACAGAAAGTATAATACCAATTTTCTGCTTGAATATCATGAGAGGGAAGTCTAGGAATCTCTCTGGCTCACAAGGCAGCTGATTCTAATTTTAGACACCTTTAAATTTTAAAAAGTTATTTCTTGAGCTCTATCTCCCTGTAATTTTTTGAAGTCCAGCTATCTCAATTTTATAGGCAAGTGAGGAAAACTGATGCCTAGGCTAAACCAGTTTATTATTGCTAAAGTGGGCAATTAGTATTAGGAATTTTTAAAAATATTCTCTCATTGGTATATTTCAGTATTTTGATATCTTCATGTAACTGATAATATTGTTACTTTTTTTTTTCTCCACTAAAATAATACCATTAGAAAAGAAAGTAGTCTGTAACATCCAGACTAGTGTTTTGCTCTCTGGATTCCACTTCTCTTTTAGATAAAAAGAGTTCTACCCACAAAGGTATCACTTCCTCAGAAAAGTGTTTTATAAAATGTATGTATTTCCCCCCAAAGTCTGGATATGTTTTGCACATAATGACTAAACATAAACCGCTTTCTTAATAACCCTCTCAACTTCTCTAGAGTCAAACACTGCTTTGATTTGAATTTAGTGGTGCTTGACTGTTTTAAAAACATGTCAGGTATCAAGACCAGGCATGTATAATTCTTAGCCATATGCTTAACAGATATGTAACCTTGGAAAATAGACCTGTTCTCTTTTATGTGTTATAGCTTGTGTATTAAAAAGATGACTAAAAACATTACTTTGAAGAAAGTAAAGGCATTGTGAAAAATAGATCTGAGATCAGGGTTATTTGATTAAATGAAGAAATGCTAAATGGTGACTTTCAAATTAATTCCTCTCTGGCTTACTTTTCTATGTAAAATACATAAAAAAACAGAAACAAAAGGAAGAGGTTGGTAATCTTTACAATTGCATTTTAAAATATTTATTTCCACTGCACTCTTTTAGACTTTGTAATAGGGATTCACAATTTCATTTTAAAATGTTTGTTTCCACTGTACTCTCTTAGGCTTTATGAAAGGGATTCAGCAATCAAATATGATATTCTCTATCAGGAAGGAAATAGGGAAGTTTGTGATTATTAGAAGAAAAGTAGGACTTACCATTAAAATGGCCAGAGCCGCTGTGGTTCTGAAAAGCAGCGAAGTCATTGTCTCTGTCTCCCGTTGAACAAATCCCTGAGAGCTGCCGCCTCAGTCCTTCCACCCCTCTGCATAGGTGTCTGCTGTCTTCAGGAGTCTACAGTTGGCCTGTTATGTGGTTCCTCCCCGCCCTAACCCAAGGATTGGTCTTACCAGCAACGCTTGAATCACTTTTGCTCCCAGGTAAAAACTTAGACACACCTCAATTCCTAAAGCAATGAAATCCTTTGTGGGGAGCTGGAAGAGCTCACAGACTAAAGACCACATTTAATGGGATGGTACCAGATGAATAATAAGTTAATCACGGTGTGGCTGTGCACAAGCGAGCCCTGACTGCACTGAAAAAGAATCCACTTGGCTGCTTCTCAGGGTTTCAATTAAAACTGAAAAGCAGAACAAAATACAAAAATCCCCCAAAATCTAACTCGTAGAGGAACATTTCTTTTTAGTCTGCCTGTATGTGGGTAGATATGAAGTTAAGCAAACTGTAGGTGTTAAGTAATAATATATTTTATTGAAAGTAACTACAAATCTGAAGAAGAAAATCACCACATCAAGCAACTATTGATCTACATCAATAGTTCTGAATGAAAACAATTAGAAATAGAATTGGAGTAAACAGTTATATGGTTGGTGCCTTGGGTATTTGAACTATATAAATAATGCATTGCAAAATCAGAGCTCTGATAGTAATCCCATAACATCTTTTCTGGTGTATTTCATTTAATTTATAAGTTTTTTTTTAAAACAGGTAGTTTGCCTAGTAAAGTAGGTTATCTTTGTGCCTTTTAATTACTCAAGACATTTTCCCCAGAGCAGACCACCTGCCCACTGCTGTGCACTTGTGCACTTCTGAACATTTGGGCTCCAGCCTGAGCTGCGGATAACGAAAAACTACGAACACCGTTTCTGGCTGCTTATCACACTAGAATTAGAAGCACTTTTAAATGCTCCAGAATATTTAAAGAAAGTTTTGATGGAAGAGCAATTTTATCTTTATAAATATTTGTGCATCAGGTTTTGGGAGCTTTTTAGTTTCAGGGAAACCATCCAATCACAGAATATTTTAGGCAGAAAGGATTTTGTTGTCTATGTGCTGGAAAAGAACACTAGGCAAAATCTGGGGAGGGAGGACAGTTTGAGTGTTTTTAATTGCGGTCAAATGTACATAACAAAATTTACTGTTTCATCTATTTTAAAGTGTCCAGCTAAGTGACATTAAGTGCATTCATATTGTTATGCAACCATTACCATCCTCTGTCTCCAAAAATCTTGTGTTTGTAACAAGACCTTTGTAAATAAAGTTTTATTGAAACACAGACATGCCCAATTGTTTATGCATTATATTGTGATTGGTTGTTTTTGTGGTACAAGGGAAAGTTGAGCAGAGCTGAGCAGTTAGACAGAGACTGTATGGTCACAAAGCCAAAAATATTTACTAATTTATAGAAAGTGTTTGCTCTATTAATTACATTCAGAAAATGTTTGCTGACCCCATAGTTGATGCCATATATATTAATAGTAACATCTGTGACAAATCTGAAGGATGTTCACTTCAATAGAGAAATAATTAGTAAATATCTTAAATCTGTTTTCACTTGGATTTCTAAAGATCAGGTTTGTTTTTTTTAAGATGTCCCTCTAAATTCCAGGATGCGTATTTTATGCAGGTTTTTATTAGAATCAGAAAGTAAACAACTACTGAATCCTTTCCAATGTGGAAGGACTGAAGCATAAGGAAAAGTCTTTTCTGAATTAGGGAGTAGTTTCTTTGTGACTGGACTAATGAACAAATATGAGGGATAGAAGCTGGATTAACATTATTAAATGTATTAGTGATTTGCGTAATGCAGAATTCTGCAGAATTATTCAGAATGTAGAGTAATGTTGATTACTTTCTGACTTCAGTATTTGAATTTAACAGTGGTGAGAGTTTTTGGTTTATACGTTTATATATTGGGGATTTTTTTTCTTATAACATTATGAGAGGAAATGCATATGCATAGGCAGAAGCTAGAAGGTACCACCACAATATACTAGAACTTATTTTTTTTGAATGAGATTATTATGGATATTGTAGGGGAACTCACTTTTGAGATGTAATATGGTTCCAGCAGCACAGGCATCTGGGAAATGTTGAACTCTCTGTGATTGTTAATTATCTGTTAGTGTTTGACTCTCTGTAACCTCAGGCTTGGCTGACTACTCAGAAAGCCAGAATGTTGACCAAATACAAATGTCATGCCCCCAGGAAAGAGTGTAATAACTGCCTGATATTGTCTGTTAACTTAGGAATGCATTGTTCTTTCTGGTGGTCTATGTGACCACCCACCATATGGTTTTACTATTAAACCCCTATAAAAAGAGACCCTGTTCTGGGTGGGATGTGGATTCTTCCTGGCCCGCCACCACTGAAAGCAGTTGCTTTGTCCATGTAGGTAAGTTTCTCCCATTAAAGCTTTTATGAAGGTGAGTAAGGCTATGTGTCACTTCTTCAAAATTGATCCTGAATTTAGACTTTTGGGGTTTTCTTTCAACAGTTGTACTTAATTAATTTTTTTCACTATGCCTGTATATATTTTCTGATTTTTTTGGTAGTGAGACTGTATGAGTTTTATAATTAAAAAGTTATTTAAAAAATAATATGAGTATAGCAAGCCTTTATAAATAACATGTAAACTTTGGATCAGGGAAGAGGAGAAAAATGTAATGAATTTTTAGTTCCTACCTTTCTCATTATTTAAAATTTTGCAATTCTTCAAAGTTTTATTGTGCTAAAGACAAAAGGGATTTAAAAAAACAATAGCAGAGAATTATGATATTCCTAGCATATCTACATGTTGCTTTGTGGACTAAATTCTAGACATGGCTTACTTTGCTCTGATATATCTTCCTTAAAACTCCAATTCTTTGACAATTTTAATTAATCAGGGCTTAAAAATCTTGATTGTCATCTTACTCTTTCCTTACCTGAACATAGGTTAAAGATTTAACTGGTATTTCACTACAGTATTTTGAAATAACATCTAAGGATTCTTGGTTGTGTGCTGTATCAAGGATGGAGCACCCATGCAGGAGAGCAAATTTCTTCTTGGTCTGATGCAGGTTGGCTTCATCTTCTTTTCCCAGCAAGGGGGGCTGTAGAGAGCAACGACGAACTGCCTCACGCCCTCCATAGACTGACAGGGCTCTCTTCTGTCTGGCTTGAAGCCAACATGTCCTTTCTTATGGAGGATTGGGGACCATGGTAGGGTTATAAAGGATCCTGGTGCTGGTATTCCATTTACAGGGTAACAGGAAGGTAATCTGGAAGTCACTGCAGTGTTTTCACTTGGTATTTTGTGAAAAGAAAAGAATGGAGCATTTTCTGCTGAGTGGTTATCTTATGCTCTGGATAACAATGGCTTTGGAAACCTAAGCCTAACCTGAAACTGGCTCTTACTCAAGAGGCTGAAATAAAAATTAGGATCATAACAGTAATAATCATAGTCATTGAAAGGGAGCTTCATTGTATGTGTGTATTGTGCTTCTCTTCATGAACCATATTGAAAGCATAAGAGTTGGACAGTAGATAAAACACATCATAGTTTTAAAAAGCTAAAGAAACCATTCTTTAATTTGCTAGAAATTGAAACATGACATATGGAGTGAAGCGGTAAGAATGAATATTTATTCAAGTACACAGTGGCTTCAGAGGTTTCCATGGTGTTTCCAGTGCTAATTATCTGCAGCAGTTCTATTATTCATCAAGTAGAGAATGTTAATAAGACTTTGCCTTTCATTGGCAAGCCTTCACTCGTCTTTGTTTGTTTTGACTGGAAGCATATATTTAATATGTTTTATATGTCAGACATTACTACTTTTGATATTTAAATGTCTTTGAATGTCTACACATTCATGAATTAAGATACTGGTCCTTCAAATTATGCATTAACAAAATTATGCATATATCCTGAAATGGCCTCAGAAGTTGTGATCATCACTTTTGGTTATTTAAGGTAATGGAAATCATACACCTCTTCCATTAGGATCATCACCTGAAGACATCCAGGAATGTCAGAGAATATAATAATTAATTGTGCATCTGAAGATAACAGTCTGCACTTTAATACTTAGTGAACATAGGGCTGGTAATTCAATTTCCCAGTAGATGATTGTATGTAACAAGATTCACCATCCTCCTGTGATTCCTGGAATTATTTCTTTAAAAATTTGTGTAATTTTTATCATATATTGAATCAAGCTCAAATTTCAGAAAGATACATATGGGTGAATAAACATTTAAAAAAATTATTTTATTGAAGCTCTGAACCAAAGTCTTTTTGCATTGACTTGGTTTAATTAAGCAATTGCTTATTTGTGGGAATATTTTTGTAAGGTAATAAACAGGGTGAAGGAGGAATTTTTCAAATGCACCTCATTCAATAAAGTGTTTCTTCAGGAAAAGCTTTTCTTTGGTTCTTGTGATTTGTTGCAGATAAAATTAAAAAATGGAATCTACTGACATAACGTATTTAGAATCCATCTAGTTTCCTTTCCCTGGGCTTCGTCCACACTAGCCAAATTCCTGATATCGTTCATGTACCTCCGGCAATGGATCTGTGACTGAACTCTTATTCCTTTCTTGCCTCGTTCAATCCTCCCCTCACTCAGCAGTCTGAGTGCTATTTTTAAAAGGATGTGGCTTCCAATGTACTTGGAACAGAATCAAAACTGCCAGTCATGGCTTATAAGGTACTAGCCTAATCCATTCCCTGTTTCCCTTTCCAACCACATCACACAATCCCTCCCTCTCACATGCACCTTCTTTTGTTCTTCCAAAACCCTAAACTCTTTTTCTGCCTCAGATCTTCACTTAGTTTCTCTTCCTCCCTTCTAGCTGGCTTCTCTTTCATCATGTGACCTTCTCAGGAAGGTCTTCTTGCTACCCACACATGAGCACTGTCATCTCCATTATTATTTTTTAAATTTTTTAAAGCTATTATTTATTTACTTTTAGAGAGAAGGGA